CCAACAACAAAGCTGAACAACTTGCTGTGGTGAGGAATATGGAAGACTGCATCAGAGACATTCGCTCTTGGATGTCGAATGATGATCTTAAGTTTAATGACGACAAGACTGAATTCCTCATCATTGGTTCATCACAACAGCTGGGAAAGCTAGATAACATCAGTATACGTGTGGGTGACTCAGATATTCAACCCGTGCCACTTGCAAGATATCTTGGTTGTTGGTTTGATTCTAACAGTTGTGACGGTGAAGCGATTAAACACTAAGTCGTTGTGTACCTCAAACGGATTTGTGTTTATTTGCACTACAGAAGGCATCATTGTGATTGGACACTAACAAGGCAGCTATTCAAGTTCAGTCTCTCAGAAAAGCAGAGCTTATTATCGAGCTTACAAAGAGGGGATCCAAGCCACTCGACCATCTGAGGGGAAAGTTGAAGGCAGAAGTTGAAAAAATAAAAACAAAATATTCCACTGAGCAGAATTAAATGGATGTTGTTCAATTAAACGAAGTCATCACTTTTGACTTAGTGTGTTCAGCATCAGACCACGATGAAAACCAGGTTGACGAGTACAGTGACGGAAGCGATTCAAGTGATTCGGAGATTGACATTGATAACGAAAGTGAGAACGTCTTGACCTTCTTGAGAACTACTCGTTCTGGACGCAGAATTACCATTAATAGAAGCATATTCTAATGAAACGACTTGGTGCGACCAAAAGACACGGCCGATCAGGCCAAGATAAGTAAGAGAATCTAAAAACATTAGTCCGTTTTTACGGACTAATGTAAATATGTAAAAACATTTGTCCATGGAGACTGGGGCTGGCATGCATAGCGAGTAGACGTGTTTTCGAGTGCTCCCCTCTGTTTATTAGTAGTTCTTCTGGCAGCTTGCATTTCTTGTATATGGAAACCATTCTTTCTTCTTTGAAGTGTACAATATCAAAGAGAAGCAATTCAGATTCGTCTGCGTCAAGTTCTCTGTGGGAAAAGAATCCAAAGAGTCTAGCCGAGGAAGATGAGGTTCTCCAAACCTTTAACATGACCGGTGACATTTGTGAAAAGCTCGATAAAATTCTTGGAGAACTTGGAACTTGGAGAACTTCTTTTGGAGAAAAGAGACAAGGATAAGCAAATTGAATATTTACAAACGCAACACCTTTATCTCGAATTGTACAGAAGGAGAGAAAATCTAAAATTTTTTGGCATACCAGAAAGCGAAGCCAGCTCTTTGGAGGGGAAAGATGCGGTTGGCCCAATTGATGTTTTGTGTGATTGTCTTCATAATGTCCTTGGTTTTGGGGATCCAAAGAGGAATATGGAGTTTCAACAAGTGCATCGGATCGCCAAATCCGTACCTGGAAAGCCCATGCTGATATTAGCCCGTTTTTTACACTATCAAAATCGCGAGACGGTGCTTCGTGTTGGGTTTGAATTGAAAGACACTGAGTATTTGTTTTTGCTTTTGTAGATGTTCTGCTTTGTGTTTACTATGTTTTTCAAAGCTATTCTGGCGCGTTAATGAGGATATATTCTTTAAAGTTTGAAGGTGCCAAACTGATGCTTAACTTTTCCCACCTAGTGAAGTTGTTTTTCCTTTTGGCGAAGTAGGGCGTACAGACATCGAATTTAGTCTTTTGTCATTAAATGCTCGAGGGATTCGTACTTTTGAAAAGCGGAAAGCAATTTTTAGCTGGCTTTTAAATTCTGGAGCCAATATTTGTTTTCTGCAAGAACCTACAGTACTCAAGAAGTCAAAAATATCAAGAGAGAACATTGGAGAGGAAAAGATGTTCTTTTTGCACGGTAGAAGCCACAGTCGAGGTGTACTTGTACTGGTAAGGGATAGCTTAGACTTTCAACTGCGATCTATTAAGGTTGATTCTCAAGGTCGCCATGTTTTCCTAGAGTTTTCCATTCAGGAATCACCATACTTTCTTTTGAATATTAACACTCCAAACAAATGTAGTGAGCAATGCATCTTTTTCAAAGTAATATCAGAAATTTTGAAAGCCGCTAGAACAGAACAGGATTACCCAATTATCGTCGGAGGTGATTTTAACGTCATTCTTGACCCTGACTAAGATGGACGGGGTGGAAACAACAGAAAGGAAGACTCCGCAAAATTAGTTCAAGATATGCCCCCTGATTTCGATCTGGTTAATATCTGGCGAATTAGGAACCCCACTGCATCACGATTTACTTGGCATAAAAAAACTCCGCTTGTACAGAGGCGTCTAGATTATTGGCTTGTAAGCGACAGTTTGCAAGATGAGAAAATTTCAGCCGAGATTAAAACATCAATAAAAAGACCATTCGGCAATAACCCTTTCAATTAGCGGCTTAGATGAAACTGAGAGAGGACCGACTTTCTGAGAATTCAATTCGAACTTAGTAAATGACTCGGACTACTGTGAACTGTTAACCACTGAATATGTGAATTGGTTAGATAAGCGTATTTTATGGGATTTAATAAAATACAAAATAAGACAGCGAACAATCACATTCAGTAAAGGTCAAGCCCGTAAAAGAGGAGCAAAACTACAAAAGGTGGAAGATAAGCTGAAGGAATGTACAGAAAAATGTGATAATGATCCAAATAATGGAAATCTCGAGGAACTGGGGCAATCATTCGCTCTAAGGCAACCTGGTATGAAATGGGTGAGAAAAACAATAAAAATTTTTTGAACTTAGAAAATTCAAATAGAGCGGAAAGCAGTGTCCGCAAAATCATAACAACTGATGGAGCATTAACTAGCGACCCAAAAAAGATTATGAACGAATTGGAATTATATTATTCTAATCTCTATGATGCTAGAAATTCCACTGACATTCAGACTATTTCTTCGTTTATAAATGATCTCACCGATGTTCCATATTTAGCCGAGGGAAAGAGGAACGTTTGTGAGGGTATCCTTAGATATGATTAGTGCTATAATGTACTGTAGACCTTCCAAAAGAACAAATCGCCAGGGAATGATGGTTTAACATCCGAGTTTTACTTAGCCTTTTGGCCCTTGCTTGGAAAGTTGGTAGTTGATAGTTTGAACTATGCTTTCGAATACGGTGAACTATCGAACTCACAGAAACAGGATGTTATCACCTTCGTTGAAAAGGAAGGAAAGACAAAAGGTTGGTGATGAATTGGCGTCCAATATCTCTTGTAAATCTTGATGCCAAATTGGCGTCTAAAACGTTGGCAAAGCGTTTGAAAAAGGTACTTCCTGAAGTAATTCATTTCAATCAAAACGCGTTTGTAAAAGGGAGAACAATTTTTGATGCCGTCAGAACGATCAATGACGTGATTGAATATGCTAGGTACAAAGATATACCTGGGATTCTAGTCGCTATAGACTTTGAAAAAGCTTTCGACTTGCTCAATTTAAATATTCTTTCAAGAGTACTACATGCATTTAACTTGGGCCCTTCTTTTATTCAGTAGATACGGGTCTTATAAAACAACGCCTCTAGCTGTGTAATGAACAACGGTTTTACAACAGGACCTTTTGCACTAAGTAGGGGAGTAAGACAGGAAGATCCCCTCTCTCCCTACCTATTTATAATAGCTTTAGAGACCTTAGCTATAACGATAAGAGAAGATGATGGCATTAAGGGCATTATGATACAAGATGAACCTGTTAAACTTTCCCTTTTCGCTGATGACATGACCTGCTTTATCAAAGATAGCAGTTCATATACAAACCCATTCACTACGCTAAAGACTTTAAATGAATGTTCTGGTTTAAAAATAAACAATGAAAAAACCGAAGCCTTAGCTTTAGGCAAAAGTAGATCTCTTTGGAAGGGGCCGCATTCTGATTAGCCAAATCTTTGTAACACTATTAAAATTCTAGGCGTATACTTTGGCTATGACGCTAAACAAAGAGATAAATTGAATTTTAGGAAAACTTCGAAATCACTTAACAAGACGATCAATTTGTGGAAATGGCGTGGTCATCCTCTCTTAGGTAGAATACAAACTATAAAAACCTTTGCCATCCCAAAGCTTATGTATAGAGCTTTGGTGTTGCCAATTTCTAAAGACCTTATCAAAGAGGCAGACTCACTTTTTTACTATTTTATCTGGAATGGGAAAGATAAAGTAAAATGAAATGTGATGATATTGGAAGTTGAGAAGGGTGGCTTAAATATCCTCGCAAAAACGCCCAGCTTGCTACACAAAATTGCAAATGAAATTATTTGGAATAACAAGCTTCTCTGCATTAATAAGAAATCTGTGTATTTCATCTCAACTGAAGAAAATCTCAATCCTGAGCAAGGTTTCTTCATTATGGGTCTTATTAACTCTATGCCTGCCAATTAATGCTTGCCAATTAAAAGGGCAACTACTGCACCGATGATTGATCCACTCCCGCATTCACAGGGTTCGACATCTCCGCTAGCCCGGTAGCCCGAAGCTAGTAAAAATTGGGTCGGGCTAGTAAAAAAACCACGTTTAACAGCCCGCTGGCTAGTAGAAAAATTGAAAGAAATTATATATAATTAGTTTACTTGAGTTCACAGTTGATTAAAAAAACAATAAAGTTTTAATTGTAATGATAATACCAATAAAGAAGGCATAAACCTATCATCTTCTGACGTCATTTTTTTTTGTCTTGCGTGTCGATCGTAAACATCGCAAGATCCCAGACTCTGCTCTTAATGGTCAATGTCTTCCCCAGTCTTCTCCCTAACAATGTTGCGATGCCTTGCACATAGCCTCGCACTTGAAGCGATCGCACGATCGCCTCGCACTTGAAGCGATTGTAAAGATGGAGCGATTTTTGACAAATTTCGAGGCGCCACCATGTAAAAAGGGAAAACGGCCGAAACTGAAAGTACCAGTAAACAGGAAAGCAATAACATTTAGGAGAGCACTCAGAGCAAGAGAACTTTTAATCCATCGTGGAAAGAAAGCTTCCCATGGCTTGAACCCCATGTCGTATTAAAGAGGGCAAAATGTTTTGCTTTGTCTGCAGAAGGTATGATCGCTCAAGTTCTTTTTGTGTTGGAAGCAAGAACTTTAAACTTGAAGCAGGTTTGACAGTCATAAACAAAATCAGATGCGATTTGATGCGACAAAGAAGCCTGAAGCTACTGTAACACATAAGATGCTAATGAAGCTAAATCAGAAAACCATCGAGCAAATGAAAATATTATTTACATCAGCTCATGCTGTTGCAAAACACGGTCGCCCGTTTAGTGATTTTCAGTGGCTGTGTTCTTTAGATGAAGCTAAAGGCTTGAAAGTAGGAACTGCGTACCGAAATGACAAGAGTTGTCAAGATTTTATGAAGGCAATTGCTACGAATCAACGCAATATCACACTTTCACTGATTGAGAAAGCACAGTTTTGGTCCATGGTATCTGACGGATCCACAGACAGTTCTCACAGGGAGCCAAAATTTGTTGTTAGATTGGCAGTACATGGGGCGATCTTTACCAAGTTTGTTGGATTGAAGAACATTGGCAAAGCAAATGCTGATGGCATCAGTCAAGCATTGATCACCATGATGACAGGGAGTTTTGGCAGCGTGTGGAAGACGAAAGTGGTTGAGTTTGGAACGGACGGTGCTAGTGTTATGATGGGAAGTAACAACAGAACAGTGAAGAAGACGAAAGACCAAATTGCACGACCCTACATTCTGGCTGTTCACTCTTCAGCTCATCACAATGATAGAATAAACGCCATTCTTCATAATTTTAAAAGACCTTGCCAATAAGTTTAGAGGAAGGTTTGCATGTTTGGGGTTGAGGTAGACCTCGAGGGAAATTGATCCGGGCTGCCAAGTTGTGTTCCAGGCTAGTAAATTTTAGAAATCACAAGCCCGGTGACTAGTAATGCAGGTAGCCAGGTGTCGAACCCGGATTCACCTGCTATTCTAATAAGTACCAATTTAGTTCCAATTCTTGATGCTTCCACAAAGCAAATCTACCGGCTTTTCCTGGAGAAAAAACAAACAACGCCTACTGCTAAGGTAAAGTTAGCTGCAAAGTATTCGAACAATCTTTTCGCACAACATTAGAATCTAAACTTAGAGAATTTCAGTTTAAAATTTTAAACCGTATTGTTTTTACAAACGAAAAACTGTTTCGTTTTGGCATGGCTGATTTGCCGTCCTGTACTTTCTGCCAAACAGAGATTGAATCCATAGAGCATTTACTCTTTTCCTGTAGAGTATCATGTAGTTTTTGGAAACATGTCTTGTCCTGGTTGCGCGATTATAAAATCTCTGTGAAAAAAGAGGAAGATGTCATTTTTGGTAAGTTCGATATTGCAGAAGATTTTCCCCTGTTTAATCATATTTTGCTTCTGGGTAAGTTTTATATTTACTCTCGGAAATACCAGAATATTATACCTTCTCTTCAAGGTTTTATAGCCAGGACAAGGCGTATTTACAATATCGAACTCCATATTGCCAGGAAAAAGAGACAAATTAAACAATCATTTTAGAAAGTGGGAAAAGTTAATAAGCGTTTTAGGAATAAGTGATGTCATGATTAATTTCCATCATTAGTTTTAAGGTGATGTCATTGTAATTTACATACTAGGTAACTGTATTACCGTAATAGCTTTGTGTGTGTGTATAGTATTCTACTGTTTGTACTATATAAATGTGTCTTTCTCTCTTTTTTTTTCTTTGTTAATTTCTATTTTGTATGTAAACGTAAGAAATGTTTTTATAAAAAAAACTAAAAAAAAAATTAAAAGAAAAACACCAGTTTGTAAACGTTTTCTTATTTTTACGTGAAACATGATCGACACGATTTTTGCGTGAACATGAAATGGTTTTGGTAATTATGCATGACGCCTGAAAAGGCCCAATAATTTAATGCGATTCAATTTTCCAAAGGGGTATAGGGGACCCTCTGTATTAATACGGACAAGTGATTGTCCAAAGCTAGCACATTAAAACAGGACTATGTAGATTTCATAGAAAGTCATGTCCTGGCGAATCTGTTGCATACAGAAGCAGACCCTGAATTGTACCATTTGGTTGCAACTTATCAAAAGCATAATCACTCAAAAACATGTAGAAAATACCATAATATTCCATGCAGATTTCATTTTGGCCAATTTTTCACAAGAACAGTTGTAGCAGAACCATTATCGGAAGAATTAGATGAAGAGATGAAATGCAACATGTTAGATAAAAGAAACAAAATTCTTACTTTAGTCAACGAGCAAATAGACAAAGTGTTAAATTGATATAATCCTGGGAGATCTGAACGTAAACTTCTTTAATGCCATTGATATGCAACCGCATACTAACTTAATGCAATCTTTCAATTATGTGCAGATTTTAAAGAAACCTACGCTCATTTCAGATAGTTTACTAGACCATGTTTACGTCAGGCGGGCAATTAAGGCTAATACCCATAGCTCAGTAACAAGTGTATGCTATTCAGATCATGATGCCATAAGAATAGCTTTACTGAATTAACCCTTTTTGAATTATATCTCGTAAACATAGGGAAAGAACACCAGAAAGAAACACTGGATTACATCCCTTACCTATCCAAACAGAAAAGAGTTACTGTCAATTCCAACTATTGCAAACACAAATGTACAGTAACTGCGTACCCCACTCAACCAACAACAAAAACAAAACAAGCCTAAAATACGGAGATGACTCCTTTGAAATGTTCACCATACTAACACAACTTTGGACTACGAGCAGTCCCTCTTTTTCTGCAAAATCTGTAGTGCTACTAAAAATAAACGAGTTGAAGAAAAATTATTAAACACCGTGTCGAACTCTGCAATTGAGGCACACACCTTAATTGTTTTCTCTTTGCTGATTTATTTTCACTCACACAAGGGACTTCGCCGAAAAAGACAAACTTCTCATAATCTAACACAACTTTCCCTGAAACTGAAAGTATTACCCACCACCAGCAATAGCTAAGTTTATTCAGTTCTGCATACATTGTATGCAGTCTTCCCCTTAAGGTGCTAACTAAACTACATGTATACAATAGAGTGATAAGTGCATGTACCAATCAGCCCTACACATAAATGTGCCTTATATTTAAAATGTAATCATTTTCTCACATTCCTCTTTCAGGAGTGATGTCACAACAGGGTCAATCTAAAGGTAAGTAATTAAAATTTTTTTCTTCATTTTTTTATATCTCAATTATGTCAACAGCGAAATACTCAAATGCTCAAATCTGATTCCATCTCCCCTTGCCTATTAGCATTGTTTTTTTTGTTGTCGTTTTCATCTATGTTTTACTCAATAATCCCAGTAAATGACCACTATTATGGATACATGTACACGTACACTATCAGATTTGCGAAAGGGGCTATGAGGTGATGATTGCAATACTTTCCTGCATCTGATGTTTTCCTTTGAACTCTATCCTGGGCAGCAAACATGGCTTCATCTACAACTTAAGTCCTCTAAAAAGATCATGTGGAAAAGGTGTTCACTGGTTTGACTTTCATTTGCAAACATCACCCACAAAGGTACAAAGAGTGCTAGCATTTAATGCTCCAGCACGTCAACAGATCCAACATTTTCAAAACACAAAGACCCCAGTGTTTCTTAAGAACTTCACCATCAAACAAGATGAGAGTGATTGGATTTTCAATCAACAGTCAAATGCGTCTGTTGCCCCAAACAGTGACATCACCTTCAATTAGAAAGAATAGCTACAACCCATACCATCTAAACTTTCTAACTTTCTGTCTTCCCAAGTTTGCAAAAAGCACATTGCTGATGTCTCTGGTACTTCAGTTAAATGCCAAAACTGCTTAATCCACCAAAACGTTATTTATTCCAAGAGAGAAGTATCTGTTAAACTATGTGTCACAACAAAGACATCAATCTCCAGGGTTGTAGATAAGAGCCGGCAGCTGGCGAAGTACGCCGGCATCTCTGCAAGGTTTCGCCGGCTACCTTCATTGCTTCAAGAGCCATACAGAGATGATATTTATCAGGTCTAAACTTGGGCTCAATAAAAATATAAATTTGCACTGCCTATCTTTTCTGTAAACATAGAAGGACTTCTGACTCAAGGTTAGTTTAAAAACGTTCTGATGGGGACTGTCTTTTTGACAAATCTTGCTGCGGTGGCAGGAAAGTACGAACGATATGACGTTTTGTCCCCCATATTGGATTTCAAGATAAGAATAGATAATTGTGCAAGCAGGAAACTGGGAAGGGAGTTTTCGTGCATGACTAGCAGCACGAAATTATGAAAATGTCTGACCAGCGAGGTTAAGTGAAACAAAAGCAATTAACCTTAATTTTTTTTTGGTCAAGACAAACGAAAACAAAAGGAGACAACTACAACTGAAGGTAGTAACCACCTTTAATAAAATGTCTGAGAAAATAGATATTAGTTCTCCAGCAAATCGACCAAAACATTGAAGGGCAAAATAATGTCAAATGAACGTCATGAAGTAGCGAACAATAATTAGTAACTGAGCCTCAGGTGGATAATTGTTTAAGTATATACACACAACATGATCTCAGCAGCAAATACGACCACAATCGAGGTACGTGTTGTTTATCGGCGGTTAAATGTTAAAGGTCTGGCTCGTACAATTTTCGAAAAAAAAAAAAAAGCCCACACGGCATGTGTAAAGCGCAGGAACTGAAACTGTAAGACTTGCAAAGTTACCGGTGCAGATAAATCTGATCCGTAATTCGAACTTCCATTTGACATACACTTATTTTTTTCATCCAAAATAAGAGCAGAGCGCCTGTAGCAGCGGGTGCTAGTATCTTAGAGGAAACAGTATAAGTTTTGCCTGCTAGACTTCCCGAAAAGCCAATCAACTATTCCAAAAAGGTTTCTGCCGGTGAAAGCATTGATCTTTTGAGCTAGTTGTTCAAAGAAGAAGAAGGCATTGTGCATCATCAGTCATTATGCAGTAGCAAGTCATGCTGTAAGCTATCTGCGCTAGAGCAAACTGCACACAAAATGTTAAAAGATAAGTTCAAAGATGAATGGCTGATGGACAAAGCTTGGTTGAAAACATCATGAAAAAAGCTTGGATGAAAACAGATAATATTGTTCTACTTGGAGACTTGAATGTTCTTCGTTCTCTAACTTACAAACCAAAACAAGAAATTAACTGCTTATTTTTCATGTGTTTAATGTGCAAAATGTGATAAAGAAAGCAACACGCATCACACCTTCGACAGAGACCTTGATTGACGTGATCGCCACAAATAAGCCGGAATTGGTTAGGAGAACTGGAGTATTGCCGTTGGGCATTACAGCCTAGTACATGCAACCCCCAGGTTAAAACGAAAAAGACTGCCGCCCCCAGTCATTACAGTCAGGAACTACAAACAATTTAACACAGAGAATTTTAAAGCAGACGTGGAAAAAACACTCTTCTACATTGCATCAGTGTTTGACGACATGGATGACATCCTCTGGGCGTGGAATCAATTGTTCAGGGGCGTTTGCGATTCACACGCTCCACTGAAAGAAATTAAAGTGCAAAGCGTAACGTAACCGTGGATCAATAACACTATCAAGTTGAAAATGAATCGCTGATTTAAGTTATTAAAGAGAGCTGTTGAAACCAAGGATCCAAATACATGGGCCAACTATAAGAGGTTGAGAAACGAAATAATATCTGACCTTAGGAAAGCGAAGGCTGCATACTTCAGAGATCAACTGAAGAGGGCGAAGACCACCTCGGCGTATTGAAATGTATTATCCAAAGCTAACAACCACAAAGTAACGGAGAAGATAGGTCCATTAAAGCGTGACGACAACAGCTTAGCGGTAAAAGACACGGAGAAGGCGAGCCTTATGAACTGTTTCTTCTCTACAATAGCTGAGAAATTAAATTCTGGACAACTCCAAGCACCACAACTCCTGACTAGTCCATGCTCCATACCTGTACCATGTATATCCATCTAGCCTTGATATTTACAGGAAAATAACATTATTGAAGAATAATAAAGCCACCAGACCGGATGGTTTATCGCCCAAATTATTGAAACTCGCAAATACTGCTGTTGTTGGGCTGCTGACAAGCCTTTTCATGCAAAGCATACGCGAATGTAGAGTCTACGGTAAATAGAAAGTGGCTAGATAAACACCTGTATTCAAAAAAGATGATCCTACGGAAATGAGTAATTATTGCCCCCTCTCCTTGCTAAGCGTACCCAGCAAGATTTTAGAAGCATGTGTAGCGGACATGATTACTAAACATGTTTTCTCGAAAAACGAAGCGCTCGTCACTGACAACCAATGGGGCCTACCGAAAAGGAAGATCGACAGAGCTATTACTCATCCACCTGACTGAAACTTGGCGACAAGCAATCGATAACAAATTAGTTATGGGCGCCGTATTCATTGACTTCCAGGAGGCGTTTGATTGCGTTTCACACTCAATCCTTCTTCACAACCTGGAGCACAACTTCACAATCACGGGAAACTTGCTGACATGGCTGAGAGATTATCTATCTGAACGGGAACAGTATACTGTAATTAATGGCGTACCCTCTGGGAATACCAAAGTTGCACACGGTATACCACAGGGCTCCGTACTTGGGGTACTCGGGCCCATACTCTTCGCCTTGTACACAAGCGATCTACCGAAAGCAGTTATCACTGCAACGACGTCCATGTATGCCGGT